GGGGGCGGCTAGACGGGGAGCACACGGACTCTTGTACTCCGATTAGCGCTCGGGAGCACACGCCCTCCGCCGTGCTCACGCACCGACGCTGGTGTGTGTGTTCGCTCGCGACGTGTAGGCGGCGGAGCAGTGCTTGCTCGGAACCTTCTCGGAGCCTTCTCGGAGCCTTCCCGGAACTCTGCCGTAGGTGGCGGCGTGGACCCTACGCTCGTTCGGCCCGTATGACGCGCGTCGGGGCGTCGGCCAGCTGCTGGTTGCGCCACGGACCGTGAACCGGCATCCCCTACCGCCATGGGGCCGAACCCACACTGGATTCGAGCCTCTGGAGGTATGGTACTAGGCATCCCCTCGACGAGCGGGGCGCCAACCGCGCAGGCAGCGGAGGTCGGCTGGAGGGCGAGTGGTACGCGTTGCGCGACATCGTGGAGGTCCGTGGCGGGCATGTCGGCAGCCGCGCCGCAACGGTGACGGTGCTAGACAAGACAGCCTCTCCTCTTACGATTGGTGTTATTAGTTTGGTATGATTAGGTGACGATGCTAGACAAGACGACTTTCCCGTTTCAGCTACCGGGCGGCGAGTGGGTGGCGACGGGCCGAGTCGAGAGGGCCATGGAGGCGATCGACGTTGGCGGCGCCCGCCTGCTCGAGCTCGCCTGGCTCGCCCCCACCCCCACCGGCCGCATCGCCGCCGTCGTCTGGCCGACCAACCAGTTCGCTGAGGCGTCCGCTGGAGAGGGCGTGAACGCCCGCCCCTTCTTTCGTGCGAGGCGCGCCCCGTGATCTGTTTCCAGGCGCCCGCCGCCGAGGTGGAGCGCCACGTGCGCCGTGCGCTGCGCAGCCACCCGCGAGTGCGTTCCTGGGAGATTCCGTCCTTCGTTCTGCTCGGAGACGAGCCGTGGGAGTACCGCCCTCGCGCAAAGGTGCGGAGCGCGCCCGGGCGAGTGGCAGGAGGAGGAGAGGGGGGCGCGAGGCAGGGCCCAGCGTCACGAGTAGGTGCGGGCGATGCTCTCCTCCCACTTTGGTCCCGCCCTCGCCGACCCCGCCTCTGGGCTGCGCGGCGCCGCGCTGCCGAACCCGGCGCTGCGGCGCCACGCCGCCCTCTCCTGAGCAGAGGAGTCCGGAGCCCAGAGATGCGTGGCTGTGAACAGGCGCTGCGGCGCCACGCCGCCCTCTCGTCGCTGCTCCGCTCCGAGCTGGCGGCAGCGCTGGAACGCGTGGCGCCCGGCACGGCGGCGGCGTCGGCCGCCCTCACCGCCGCCCTCGCCGGGTGTGTCGACGGCGCTTGCTTGCTGCGCAACGCGGACGGCTCGCTGCGAGAGCCAGAGCTGCGGCACAATCCTTACGACCCGCGGGCGCCGCTTGCGTCGCGGCTGGGAAGGCGCGACGACGAGAGAGATGCTCTATATATTTGGTAGTAGCACTGATCGGAATGTTCACAATGGTGCGGCTGCGCAGGTGCGACGACGAGCCGTGGCATCTGTGGGACCTCGCGGAGAAGCGTGGCGGCAGCGGCCCTTCCCCGGCCGCACTCCTCCGCCCGCTAAAGGGCCTGTGCGCCGACGCTCACGCGCTCGAGCGGCTGCGGGGCGTGCTCCCGCCCGTGCTGCCCTCGCTGGGCATCCTGCACAAGCTTGGGGTCCGCTTCCGATTGCGGCTGCACTGCGCGTGCGCGCTGGCCAACCAGGGCGCGCCCGTCGCCTTCCGTGCGGAGGCGACTTCGGCAACGGTGCAGGAGGAGGTGCTCCGCGTGTGCCGGCCCGAGTGGGTCAATTAACCGTGTTGCAGGGCGAGATTCGTGTGTGCCGAGGGGAAAGAAAGAAAGAAAGAAAACAGTGCGGTGACCCAAACGATTAAAAAGTAAAAAGAAAATACATCCCAGCAACCGCCGCCTTTTAATTAATTGATTGATTTGCCGCATGCCGGGGCGTGCAACCGGGTAGCGGGGGGCTAAAACTTCATGTACGCTAGTCATGAGAGAGTGCATTGTGTTCACTCTCAGAATTCACACTCATATCCTGAGCTCGAACCCTACCCGCCCGCTCACCGCATCCCAAATCGCTCCCTTCCCCTCGTCGCCCAACTTGTTGTACTCGAGGTTGATGCGTTTCAGCACCCCGTTGACGCGAAGGGCGTCGGCGATCGCGGTGGCACCCATGGGGCCGATATTGTTGTACTTGTAGCCGATCTGGTTCCAGGAGATGTCTAGCTCAGTCACCACCCCGTTGCCGCGCAGCGCTTCCGCGATCGCAGCGGCGCCCTGGTCGCGGATCTGGTTGTTGGCGAGGTTGAGGGTGGTCAGCACCTCGTTGACGCGAAGAGCGGAGGCCAGCGCAGCGGCGCCCTCGTTGCCGATGTTGTCGCCCCAGAGCACGAGGTTGGTCAGGACCCCGTTGACGCGAAGAGCGGATGCTAGCGCCTTGGCACCCTCGGCGCCAATGTTGTTCCTCCGGAGCACGAGATTGGTCAGCACCCCGTTGACCTTGAGGGCGTCCGCGAGCGCAACGATGCCGGACGCATCGTACGCACCATCACCGTCCTCGTCAATGCCGCATATCTCGTTGCCGCTCAGGTCGAGGGTGGTCAGCACCGCGTTGCCGCGTAGCGCCTCCGCGATCGCGGCTGCGCCCTCCGCGCCGATGTTGTTGTGCGGGAGCGCGAGGGTGGTCAGCACCTCGTTGCGCTCGAGTCCGCCTCTGATCCGAGCAGCGCCCTTCATGCCGATTTTGTCTGCCGCATCCCGCCACTTCGTGTTTATCCTTGAAACGGCGTTTGCCACCAGCGGGGTGGCGAGGTCCTTGAAGCGGCTGCTGCATCGTTTGAGGGCGACGGCGGAAGCCAGGTCAGACTCGGCAAGCCGACAGGCAATCTTCCGCAACAGGTCGTCATTGAGATCTGCAAGGCAAGGAGGCTCGGCATCTAGCTCGGCGTCCATGGATGCGCGTCGGCGGGCACATCTCAATCACAAACGCCGAAAGCCGAAATGGGGCGGTGGGGGTGCGGGGCGGGGGGGGGGGGGGGGGGGGGGGTTTTAATAAAAAGCCTTTTTTTTGCCCCGGCGGGCCCGCCCCGTCAAACGGGAAAAGGCTTTTCCCCCCAGGGTTTCTTTAATTTCCCCTCCACCCTTTCCACCCCCTTTTTTATTTTTTTTGGGGGGAAAATGAAAAAAACGTTCCCTCCGGGGGCGAAAAAGGACGGGGATACGAGCTTTTTAACAAATAACGGGGGGCGGTCGAAAAAATCGGGGGTTTCCCAAAATAAAAACCCCTTTTCCATTTATTGCGCGGCTCGGAAAAAAACGGAGGGGTTTTTTTAAACACAAAACAAATTTCCGGGGGGCTTGTTCCTAAAAAACCCCCCCC